ACACTCACACACCCACACACCCCCCACTCACACACCCACACACACACACTCACTCACCGGCACGGCACAACTCTTGTCAGCCCAACTCTGAGCCCAGCAACCCTCAGCCCGCTCCAACCAGTAATCAGCCCGGGCCCTATAGTGTCGCTCTCTGGTCGCACGGTACAACCACACAGCTGCCCACGCCAGCTCATCCTCGTCACTGCTGGACCTGATGATGATGGTGGTGGTAACGGTGGTGATGATGATGATGATGATGATGATGATGATGATGATGATGATGATGATGATGATGATGATGATGAACGATAAACCTCAGTTTTAGTTTTAGTAGGAGTTTTACAGCACTTGCAACACAATAAGGTCATATAGATGCCGAAGATTAGAGGTGTTACAAGAGAGTAACAAACACAAAAAAGAACTAGGGGAGATAAAGACGATAGATGTTTGATAGGAAAGAAGAAGCAAACCACACCAGAGCACCAGCCAATCATCCAAGATAAGCCTCATAAAAAACAAACAAAACAAACATGACATTCTCTATCCAAGTGTCCAATTAAGTATGCATGATCATGATCGTGTTTATGATGACTGAAAAATACATTATTTCACCACCTTAATAGCATAAACAACTAAAAAAACCCAACAAAACAAAAAAACACAAAAAAAACAAACAACAACAACAACAACAACAAGGGGTAAACACACAAATCATTCAGCTGTGTGCACATAGGGACCAAAGTTTAGAAGCAAACAATCTGTATTTTGAAAGATTTTATTACTGAGGTCGTGCTAAGGTCCAAGAGAATGCAATAAAAACCATAATTTAGGTGTGGGACACAAATTCCAAAGCGCCATTTGAAAAAAGTCTGATTAGAGTGAGATCTATAATATATTATTATATATATACATATATATTTGGGGAAGACACAACTCTTGTAGAAGAAAGCAAGAAAAGAGCGGCATTTCTCGCTCCTGTCCATATATATATATATATATATATATATATATATATATGATTGAAACTGTTACCTAACGGCTATTCCTCGAAGTAATGAGATCACGTGACACGACAAAACCAACCAAACAGCGGATCACTGAATGACAGCTTACAGAAGAACGTTGACGAAAAACAGAGGGTTCTAACATCTTTTCGTCAACTCGCTCCCCACCACGCTTGAGCAAAGCAACACGCAGGTAGAAGCACACTGTTAGCTCAGTTGGTATCATGCTGGACAATGGGGCTGATAGGACTGGTTCGAATCCTAGGCCAGGCGTTCTTGAAAATGGGTCTTTTTGTGGAGATTTGAAGACTCCCAGCCTATTTTTGCTCCGTCCTATTGGAGATAGAAATTATATTCAGAGGTCCCACCTTTTAAATAACTGAAATGGTATTTATGGGGACGTTAAACCAAAAATACTAAAGCATGACATCTGCGAGAGACTTACTCATAAAACTCTGCGGCACTCTCGATACTGTCGCTGTAACTACCCCGGAAGTTCTCCGCGAACTCAAACAGCTCTTGCGCATGTTCCAACATTTTCTTGGCAAACGGAGGATCTGGGAAGACAGTATAATAAAAATAATAATAATAATAACAAAATGATAATAATAGTAATAATAATAATAATAACAATAACAACAATCATAATAATTATTATAATGATAATAATAATAATAAAATAAAACAATAATAATAATAACAACAATAGCAGCAATAATATAAAGCTCTGATCGCTTTACATCGATGAATTTCATTCACTTACACCCTCACTCACTCACTCTCTTACTTCCTGTTCCTCCCTCTCTCCATTCATTCACTCATTCTCTCACTTCTGCTTTTCTCCTTTCTATCTTCTCTCCCCCCCCCCTCTCTCTCTCTATCTCTCTCTCTTTCTCTCTCTCTCTCTCTCTCGCTCTCTCTCTCCCTCCCTCCCTCCATCACTCATTCATGCAATAAACCAATCACCACCTCTCTCCACAGTTCTCCATTTCCATCCGTCCCTCACTCACTAACTCACTCATCACCTATTCACTCACTCACTACCTCTTTCTCTCCCTCCCACCTTCCTTCTATCTCCCCTCACCCACTCACTCACCAACATCTTTAAAAGCAAGATACCCCGCGGCCAGGGAGGCGGCGGTCTCGGCTGCCACGTCACTTCCGGGGGAATCTGGGGTCAGTTTGTAGGCGGGTCTGTCCATGTCCATGTCTTCTGGCCGGCCCCAGTAGGTGTGGTCAAGATATGGGTCACCTACCTATACAGGACATGAGATTCAATAACATAAATAGAGGTAGTAGTTGTGATTGTATTTAGGGTGTAAAAACACCTACATTAAAAGAAAACACACACACACACACACACACACACACACACACACACACACACACACACATACACACACACAAGGTTCTTTAAAATTTTTTTTGTAAGTGTTTTACGGCGCTCGCAACCTCATAAGACCATAAGAGCGCGCGGGACACACTTAATATTTTCAGTTGGTAGAAAATGTTGAAGCCTACTCTTATCGATTTTAGACCACCAAGGGTTCTTTAACGAGCGCAACTTGCACACGGGCACCCCGGGATTTATCGCCCTTGTCCGAGAAGGCTAGGTGTAGATCTTTCCTACCAGAAGATCATGAGTGTGGCTGAAAGACAACAGTAGGAAAGAGCCAAGGAGTAGCAGTCGAAAGGCTGCAGAAAGAGTCAGGAACCCAGAGGAGGGGGCGAAGGGGCGGAGGGGGTGGAGGCAGAAAGAGGAGACGAAAACAGACGACAGAACATTGCTAGAGAGCAGAAAAGGAGGAGAAAGGAGACAATTTTAGGGAAGAAAATGTTTCGGTCGCTTCCCGGATTCGGACCGGGGACCTTTGAATGAGAGGCCAACACCTTAACCTTCAGGCCAGAAAGCCCCCACACAAGGTTAAAGTATGTGCTGCCAGCCCAAACAGGTCATTAGACACCACGGTCAAGATATGAGACATCGTTTCAGACCGGCCAGTAGATGCAACAGCATACACAGAGGCAGTAAGTGTGAAGAACTAGAAATGGAAGGATAGGGGAAGCGAGATATGTGGTTTGTTGGTGTGACTGCTGCCTAGAATGGAGAAGAATAGGGGAGCCTTTTTACAAGCGGTGCCCATTAGTAGGATGTTCACCTACCTATATAGATCATTAGGAATAATGGTCATGGTAGGGGTCACCAGCCAAGACAAATTCAAAGAGGGAACAAAAATAACACTATGGACCAACAAAGGAAATTGTACCTGTGCATAAAACTCGTATTTCTTTGTGTGCGCCTTGATGAAATAGTCTAAAGGCCAGCGCACACAATCTCGCATATCATCCAGTAAGCCGGCAGATCTGAAAACACAAGCAATTAGTGAATTTGAATAGATTTAAAGATAAACGCTGAGTGGAGAACATGAAACATTTCTTTTTCATTTATTTAAACTTCTTTTGGATTCTAAAAGGTGTGAACAAAACAACTTGGCACGGCGCACCATAAATAGTGAGAGACAATGGGGAATTCCAGTCGATTGTTCAAGAATCTGACTGGTAAACATTTTTTTCAGCTGTGAGATAAATTAATAGGTCCATCGGGATGGTCGTTTTATCTTTTGGAAAGAAACTTTATCATATTTTCCGTATTTCATAAAACTACAATTATGTCACTTGTCAGTCCAATGAAAGGGGATAAAATCTGAATGGTATGTAATGCACCTGAAAAGCTGTAAAACACCTGAAGTTTCAGAAAATGGATGATAGTGACAAATGGTTACAGCCTGAGATAGTGAACATGGCGGGGGTTTTACTGTACCTGTAAGCGTCTGGGAACTCCACCAGCCCCCAGAGAAGCATGGTGGACGCCGCTGCCATTGGAAGGCCGAACTTGACGTAATCTCCGGCTGGACGGATGGAACAAACGTAAAATGTTCATGAGCAGAATATAATGACTTTTGTGTCGACAAGCAAAAAAATCCAGACGGTCCAATCCTGTTATTGACGCGGGCCCAACAAACCATAAGTGCTCTTGTTTGTGAACAATATTTTACTTTACAAAAAAAACAAAACAAAGAGCAGACAAATGTCTGCTTAAAATCATACCAGCCCAAGAGCAGATAATAAATGTCTACCCACAGTCATACCAGCCAGATGGAAGACAAACGTCTTCTTACAGTTATACCTGCCTAAGGGAGGAGACAATAATATTATGTCTTCTCATAAACATACCAGTCTAAGGACAGACACATGTAATACTAGACTACGGGGAGAAATATGTCTACTTACTGACATACCAGTCTAAGGGTAGACAAATGTCTTTTCACAGACTCACTAGTCTTCGGGCATGAAAAAAAATGTCTACTTACAGACATACCAGCCAGAGGGCAGACAAAAACTAATCTCTACTTACAGTCGTACCAGCCACCGGTCAGGTCTTCCCAATCATCCCCCCTGTCGTCCAGAGCCGAGTGGTCACGCCACAAGATCTTCCTGTCATCCGGCAACCAGCCAGAACGCTGGACTTCGAAGAAACGGATGGACTTGTACATGACCTCGCCGTAGTTGTACTCTGTTCTCGTGCAGTTGTTGTGGGGAGCAGATTGGGCCAGGCAGGGGGAGGGGGGCGGGGGGCATGGATGTAGTGGGACAGGAAGGTAAAAGGGATAGGGATAGGAAGGGGAAGAGGAAGTGCATGAGCAAGGGGGGCGTGCACAGTGTGGAGCGGGTGGCAGGGATGGGCGGGTCAATAGAAGCAGTGGAACAGAAAGTGGGAGATGGCACAAGGCAGGGTGCAGAGGTATGAATACCATTTAGGTAAGTCGGGGGGGGGGCAGGGAAGGGATGGTCGGGAGATACGGGGGGTGACACGGAGACATGAAGAAAGGGATGGGGAGCGGGGAGGGCGGGAGAAGGCGGCATGGGCAATATGAGGTAGCAGAGGAGTTAATGGAGAGGGATAAAGAAGAAAGGGGAAATGAGGTTCAAGTGGGGAGGGGGCAAGGTTTGAAAAGGGGGAGGGGAGAGGGGAATTTTAGAGTGAGTTGGTTACAAATGATTATAAAAGAACAACAGGAGGTAACGTTGGAATGAAAATACTAAATCAGAATCAAAACACACTGTTTGAATCGTCGTCGATGGTGTAACGGTAAACGTCTTCACAACTGCACTCCGAGGACGTGACTTCGGTTCCCATGTGAACATGTACAAGATGATTGCAAAAAATGGTCATGTCTACCAGTAAAATTTCAAATAACTAAATTAGTTTTTGTATATGAAATTATAACTTTTGTATCTTAAGATTTATCTCTTTGTATCAAAGTTGAAAATAAATTGAACAAGACATTTCGAAATGGTAACTTATTTTTTTACCCAAAAAGTGACACTTTTGAAAAAAAAACCCCAAAAACATAAAAATCTACTTTAACAAAAACTAACATTTAATGTCAAAGTCTGGAGTACAAATCAAAGTGATGAATTTAAACCATGTGCTCAACAAGTTTTCTTTTCAACCGTAAACAGTCATGCACTCATTTTTAAAGCTACGAATCACCCGCGCACAAACGTGCAGGTTGATGTAGCGAATTTGATTTCCAATGTTTTCTCGAAGGTGTTTCTCGTAAAAACCTGCCCTTGAGGAACTCTCATAGAAAGAAATCTAGTTGGTTACATTTGCGGCCATTTGCAAGTCTCGTTTTCGACTGATGACCCGGTCCCGGCAATCTTCCATGTTAGGTAAAGTTGCTTAGCTACCTCCTTTAAGACTATGTTACTTTGTACAGATACCTCCTCCGTAGACCTTAAAATTCAAGATCAGAAGGGGAAGTTAGCACTTGGACAATCTACTTCCCCTATGTCTACCGTCTAGACAAAGTTGTATCAAGCACACTGCTTTAAGATATAATCAAGACGCAAAGGACCAAAGTAGTAAATCCTTCTCCTCACTAAAACTGGGCGCTTCATTAGCCCCATCAGTTGGTATCATGTCTGACTATGGAGCCGATGACAGTAACTCAGATTCCAAAGACGATCTTTACTTCTGCCCGTTTTGTAGAGCTTTCAAGTAATTCGGCCCATTTGACTCGGTCCTATCGGAGACGAGCGTTAAATTTGGAGGTCCCGCCTCTTTAATTAAAATTTAGTAATTTTGATACTGGCGTTAAACCCATAACTTAATTATTCACGTTTAGCTTACTGAAACAAAAAATACCCCCTCCACACCCCTCCACCCAAAAAACCCGTCTCCCCTTCGTTCCCCCCCCCCTTTACACCTAAACAGAAAAAAACCCGCCTCCCAAAATCAAACCCCGCCCATAATCTCACTCTGAGCGCTGGGTGGCCAAGGCTTGGGAAGGGGCGTGGTTGTTGATGGCTTCTTTGGCTTGGGCTTTGTCGTGACTGGCTTGGGGGTGTTATCTACGATGGGGATGAACGGCCAGAAATTGTGGGAGGGTATCTGGTAGTAACCGCCCGTCAGGTTCTCCTGTGGTCGTCATTGAGAGACAGTGTAAGCTAAAAGTAAGGCAGAAGGGGCTAGTTGTTTTTCAGGAGGGACACAGCCTTTATTTTCGAAAATACTCACACATGCGCACGTGCACCCACTGAAACTCAAGCATAATATTATTATACACATGCATACTCACATAAGCACACATACACACATACATAAACACGCACAAACGCGCACATACACAGACGCATACACAAATATGTACATACACACACACACACACACACACACACACACACACACACACACACACACACACACTCACACACACTCACACAAAGGCACGATAGACAGACAGACACATGGACAGTCTTGTGGCACGTCGAACAATCAGACAGAGGAGGAAGAATAAACAGGTACAATTATAAACAGACCCATTTCACTTGCCAGTAGTTCGTAATAATATGGTGTTGGGATTATACAATTTGCTTGTGCAGACAACTGACATGGATTCAGTTCTTAAGAGGGGAGGTTTCTATTATTAAGTATCCACCTTTTGTCAAGCTGTATATCACTCAGACATGGCTGACTTTTATGGGTGTTTTAAAAAAATAGTTTTATTAGGAGTTATACAGCACTTGCAACGCAATAAAGTCATACAAGTTTAGAAGATTAGTTGTGTAACAGGGGGATAACGAACACGAAATGGGAGGAGAGATACGGGCGATACATAATTTTTTTACAGGAAGGAAGGAGCAAACCACACCAAAGTACCCGCCAACCATCCACTGCAGTTGCTGTTTGTTTGTTGTTGGTTTTTTTAAAAATACGCATTTACAATCAAAATTACCTACCTTTGTTGCATCAGGGATGTCAATAGGCACAAAGGGCCAGAAGTCGTGAGCAGGCACTCGGAAGTACGGCCGCTTCCGGCGGCCTTTGTCTTTGACCTTGACCTTGCCCTTGTGTGCCTTGAATGGCGGCGGGGCCTGAAGGGGTACCCACGGCCAAAAGTTGTGATCGGGGGCCACGATAGTGATGTTAGGACGGATGAAGGGCCGGATATCTAAAAACGCCAGCGTGTGTTCAAAGAGCAACAGATGTAGCAGAAAAACTGGGAGTCCGTCCTCCAGCGCCATCTTGTCATCTGTTGTTATTGATGTCTCTTTTCCTCGCGTGTCAGTTAGCTACTTCAAAACCGGTCAGTAAAGTCTAATGTATTCACGTTTTTCTCGTTCGAACACACCACTTCCATAGCCACTGTTTTATTAATCCTCAGCCATTTTAACGAAATAGAAGAAGACAATTATGATTTATCACGTGGTGTCTATTTGACTTATTTCCAGCGTTTTCACAATTTTTGACAAGCCGAAAGGGCAGGTTTCTACTTTTCAGGAAGCGATTAGGTAAGACGTCTCGATAGCTCTTTGACCAAGTGACAAGCATCAATTCTACCAAAGTTCCGAAATCTGTAACTAACACTTTGGCCTTGCAGCGACCTCCACTCGTCACTCATCACTCATCACAACAACAGCAGCAAAGACGCCTAAAGTATCTCTTGACGCCGGCGCAAAACACTTTCCTCCTTATAGATTCCATGACACTCAAAGATAGTATTCCATCAACTTAACTGATTCTTCGTTTGCAGGAAGAGATGCAGTGATTTCACCAGCTTCTGAAAGACAAAACAAATACTTTATTGGAAAAATTCTTTTAGCTCAGTGAGTGCCAACCACTTTTGCTATGATATTTAATTAACCCCTTCACTGCCACGGTGACGTTGGACTCACGTCTCCTTGAGCGCGCCTCTCGATGTTTTAGATTGACGGTATTATGGGCGACTCTTAACGTACATAACATACTTTAATGTGTCAGAGTCAGATTGTAAGGGTTTATTTGTATGCTGCATAAGTGGGTAGTGCAAGACTTTAACCCTTTCATTACCTGGCCTTAGTCAGTCTTTGGGGTTGGACTATACGAATAGGCGAGCTCCTAATATCTGATAATGCATACCCCATTTCCTCCACCGCTCATCCGTCTCACCTCATCCCTACCCCCCACCAAAAGCCCTGTCTCCCTTCCCACACCTCCCCCAACCTCCCTTCACCTTCCCCCATCCCTTCTCCCATTCTCCAACCCCTCTACCCTAGACGGTTAGTCTAAGAACGTATAGCCTCTACCCTTTCCCAAACCCGTCCGCCCTAAGGGCAGAGACACCCCTTAACCCGCCCTGTCACCTTCCAACTTCTCATCCCATCGGTAACTCCTCCCATTACTTAACAATTAGCAGTACTGAGTACTGACGCCTCAGTTAAAACACCATTGACTGTGCACTTCCGCTGCTGCACTCACAAGGAGCACTGTAAATTATAAAGTTTTCCTTGTGCAAAAACTTGAATTCATTAGATTAAATATAGTATTAAAGTTAAATGCATTTTGTTCATTTTAAGGGATTTCTTCATTTGCATACGCCATGCGTAATCACGGTAGGTTACTTCCTTAATTGAAGACAATCAACGCAATTGTGTGCAAGTATCTGGTCTGCATTTTATTTGCTGACCTTATTTCTGCATGCACATTTGGATTGTCTTTTTTTAAAAATCACTGAAGGTAAGTAATTCTGTTTTCTTGATTAACCCAGCAAGTTCAAGTGGCTGAGGGAAAAAAACGGTTTGAGAGTCTGCAGGGGAAGGAAAAGTTTTGTAAACACAAATGTCGTCTCTGCATCATCAGCTCACTATCCCTTTCGTTTTCGGGTTGAGAATGGTGACGGTTAATGGGCTGTCTATAGAAAGGGGACAACGATGGTTCCAAACTCCTAAAATCAAACGCAAAAATAACCTACAATGAATTATTTTTATCTCTGTAAACTAAGATTTATGAAACGAAAGAATGCGGTTTAACTCGAAGGCGTACCTCATCACTCAATTCTCGAGCCTAGCAGTGAATGGGTTAAGAGACTAAAATATTCGAACTGCCCTTCCTACATGTATTTCCAAGAAAGACATTAAATAGCATCTATCATTACCCAGGCGATCCACAACGCCAATTAGAATTACCTAGTAGTTTACTTATGGGCGATACCACCCAGGTTGACAAACTCTGTTATAGCAATATAAACATCTTGCTCCGTGGGAGAGTGTATTGAAGAAGGTCGCATCTCCCTTGTAATCCTATATTAAACATGTGTCCTGTTGTGGGAATTTATCTAGCTCCTCACTCGACAGAAGACGTCTAAGACAACTAGTAAAAATTACATAAGATGCAAACGGTTCTAGACGCTGTGGAAAGTTTTTCCTTTTCAGACCTGTTCTTCTTTTCTCTTAACTTCTAAATCTCAAGGATGGCCGACATCAGGCTCTTTAACCAGCAGTCCAACTGATTTTTACGTATGCGATCGTTCTTCCTACTTTGTAAGGTTCTTTCATTTTCAAGTTTAAGGCAGCCACAAACCGATTTCAATTGTTATTTTTTAAAAATATCTCTTTCATGCTCATTAATGTATATTCAGTTTTGTTCAGAGTTAATTCTGAATGTTGATTGCCCTCTGTAGCGGTCGAAGCCAACTCTCATTTATTTTAGGACCACCAAGGGATCTTTGACGTGCGCATTTTTTCGAAAGGAATTGAAAAAAAAAAAGACAAATGATACTTACAGGGATGAACATGGCAATAAAACAAATAAAGATTATATTACGAAAATAAAGCACTTTACGGGTAAATGTGGGAAAGAGCAGGATTGATTTACTACATCGAAGCGCTATCGATATCTAAATAATGTATCTGTAGATCGATATCAGAAAGATAATTATTATTTTGCTTACCTTGAAAAAACTGATTTCACAAGTAATCAATGCTCAGAACAGTAGTTCTTGTTTCGCGTCGAAACCCATATTCACACCTGCACACACTCACACAAACGTGCAAACATCGACGAAACTTAGACAACACCGGCTATTACTTTACGCCTGTGCTTTGTTCTCGGTGCAATTTGCAAACGAAAGTCTCGAGAGTAAGAAGATCCCAACAAAGCAAGTCGTCGAACACGCTTAAGTAAATCGCCAAACAAGCACGCGCGGAGTTTTATGACTACATTGGGCAGCGGGGTCCAGTTTTTGGCGCAAGCGAGCTCATGACACACCCACAAACACACATGCGCGCATAATACACACAGACATGCGCGCAAGCGTAGTAGGGCGTTCTACGGACGGTAGCCATCAATGGCAGAGAGCTCTTTGGTTCTTGCGGGAAACGTCGGACTTGGGGGATGAGACTGGTTTGCTTTATAACCTTTGTTTCTTGTGTTGTTGTTTCGGTTTGTTTGTTTTTAAACATTGTTTGTTTGTTTATTTGTGAACTCGCTTGTGTGATTGTTTGTTTATTTACTTATTTGCCTGTATGTTTGTTTGGTTTCTTGTTTGTTTGTTTGCTTGTTTATTTGGTTCTCTTTGATGGAACAAGAAAAACAAAACAAGCTAGAATAAAGAAAAGTTTGGAGTATGCGAGAGGCTGTCGTTTGAAAGACGTATTGGGCTTGCAAATACAGACTGGCTCAGAAAGGAGAAAAAAAGGAAGGAAAAATAAGATTAATAAACATTCTGTTTCTAGATTTAACAAAAGCTAGAGAGAGAAGGGTGTGTGTGTGTGTGTGTGTGTGTGTGTGTGTGTGTGTGTGTGTGTGTGTGTGTGTGTGTGTGAGAGAGAGAGAGAGAGAGAGAGAGAGAGAGCGTGTGTATGTCTGTGTGTTAGAGAGAGAGAGAGAGAGAGAGAGAGAGAGAGAGAGAGAGAGAGAGAGAGAGAGAGAGAGAGAGAGAGAGGGGGGGGAGAAGAGACAGAAAAAGGGGGAAGACAGAGTGAGAGAAGGGGAAAAGGTGAGTATTGTATGTGTGTTTGTACAGTGTTCGTGTATGTGTGTGTGTGTGTGTGTTTGTGCGTGCGTGAATGCGTGCATGAGTATGTGTGCGAGTGTGTGTGTGTGTGTGTGTGTGTGGTTGGGGTGGATTGGGGGGGGGGGGGGGTTACAACATAGGAGAACGCTATGAAATAGCCTTTTTACATATTTTGTTATAACATAACTAAGAAAAGGTTTTGATGCGTTTTAGTTCAGTTTTGGCGAACTTTGGGTCGCATGATCCCCATCCCCTCCTCTGTTTTATGACTTACATCTTTTCAGACACACAGACATGTATAAACGCACGTCCCCGGGTACACATAAAGGTATACACAGAATGATAAACCCAGTGGCTCCACCGTTATAAACAGACGTGCAGGATACATCTTTGGGCTTCTAATCCGGGTCTTCCGACAACAGGGACCCGATAACATTCCCTTAACGATTCGCCATATTAAATTGTTTAACAGTGAATAATATGAAGGACTGTTGGCTTATGTATAACTTCTCAAACTCTTTTTTGTCTTAACATTAACCCCAACAAAATTCAGAGCATTGAGGAGGCAGGCTGTTTGACCTTGCCTCTTTAGGGTCAATCCAGGCTGAGGGGAATAAAGCACATCTACAGATAGAGATGATCGTCTGTCGGATTCGATAGATAGATAGATAGAAAGATAGATAGATAGATAGATAGATAGATAGATAGATAGATAGATAGATAGATAGACAGAGTTGTGCAGACAGACACAGCCACAACCCTCAAAACACATAGACATAAGTATTATCTATACCACTTGCCCACCACCACACCAACTATGTGCGCTCACTTCATCAGTGCGGGTTCACCAGTTAATTTGTGTACTTTTACTTCCTTGTTAGCCGTAGGGATTATTTCGGGCCGTACACACACAACACTATTGTTATGCCGAGGTTTTGGGGCGAGCCGAATCGCCCGCAGAGTCACCGCACGGCGTCCAACTGGCAGGCACAATGCAAGGGTCCCTTTGGTGACTGAGGCCTGCTGCAAACAACACTTCACCAAAGTGTTTCATTAGGTCCTTTTCGTCAAGTAAAACTGCTATACATGACTATGGAAAAAGATAGGGTAGCTTCACCTTTCGGATTCTCTTACGAATAGATGTCCGTAGGTATGCTGAAGTTACCTCTGAACAGAAAAACAAACGTGATTTTTCGTGTGTTTTGTTGCGTTTTCAATAACATCAAAGGAGCTGTACGAGTTCTATCAAAG